CGCAGTGCTGTACCGAGGAATTACCTTAAAGAACATGTTCAACATTTTGAAATGGATTGCTTTCTTTTCCATCTTTTTTCTTTTTTTTTTTTTCACACAGCTCGGCTTCAAGAGACGAAAGTCCACTGGTTTTGTAGACATCAGCGAGGTCTACACTTCTGGTCGGTACTTTGTGGGACCTGACTACACCTTCAAGGTTTTCCCAGCTGATGCTCATTTTGTCGAGCTTGACGAGATTTCTGTGTGGACTGGGGACAAAATCGAAATCAAAATCAGTTGCAATTTTCAATATTTTCTGAGAAAGGATTTTCTGCCAGATTTACACGAAGCCTACAATGTCGACTACAAGCCTGTGGTCAGGGGAACGGCTATTGACGCCATAAAAGGGCGCGCTGCAGATTTACCGATCGACGACTACATAAGGTTTGTAAATATTTGCCTATGGGGAATCGTGGCTAACAACCAAAATGTGGAGGGGGTCAAGAGTGCATGTGACCCCTTCGCCGTCGAGTGCTGAATCATAAAAATATAAAAAAAACTTGACATGCCTCTAAATTGTGGCTTGATGCACTACTTAGAAATTAGTTTTGTACCCAGAATTTCTACGGCCAAGCAGTTACACGGAAGGAACTGGGTATTAGATTACTTAGAAATCCTACTCAATCGTGCGGTGTCCCCATTAGAAGTCAAGCTTAGTTTTGCGAAATTTGCCATATACTCTTCTTGCAATATGTTTAGGTATGTTCTTTTCCCACATCAGCCAAACTTAGCCTTAGCACTAATAGTTACGGATCCATGCACCCGCTTTTTCCACGGCAAATACTCAGTAGGCATAGCTACAAAGATCCGGGGTTCCTGTAATCTTCCTCCTTGTCGCGCAAAAAAGAGATCATTTAGTTACTTTCTTTTTTCTTCTGATTTGTAACCAATCAGGAACCGAGAAAATATCGAAAAGGAATTGTTCAAAGCTCTTGCCAAGCGTGTAGATGGCTGCTGCAGGGAAACCTGTCCTACCGACGAAGAGGAGATGCCCGCTTGTGGCTACTGTATTAAAAATTCCTTGTGTGAGGATGACGAAAGAGGAATGTTCGTGGAAGTCAGATACTTCCAGCTATTGGCGGTCGATGTGCATGAAGATGTGAAAAGTCGGTATCTCCGTCAAGTCACAGAGGCAGCTGAAGAAGAACGTGCCCAATTTGAATTGCGGGAAAAGGTAAACCTTGCAAACTTTCTCGTTGTTGTAAAAGTTACATTGTTGCTGACGTTGCGTTGGCGGAGAAGGTAATGATTTACCTTCTTACCCCTTAAGATCTTAATTTGAATTACCTCCACCGTCCACCACACATTACTCAAGATTTTAGCCCTGAAAATTTGGAGATTAATTGATCAGTGCTCCCAAACTGATGTTTCTCTTTCTTCTTATCATTTTCCTGTTAAACAGAATCGTAATGATGCAAGCAAATTAATCTTTTGTCACTCTTGGGAGCGATACCATTCCTAAGCCAAACAATACTTATGCTAAACAGAATAAGAAAGATGGTCTGAGGTTCTTTTTGAACTCGGTAAAGAAATAGAGAAAGATGCCTATTCATCTTATCACGAGCGCCGGACAAAGAGAGGGCTAAACTACTAACTTTTCCATTTTCCAATGAAGGTTGTTCGAAAGGAAACCGAGAGGATTAAGAACAAGATCTACAACGAAGCTCGAGAGATTGCTCAGAATGCGAGCGCCAAAGCCGTTGTTATCGACGCTGAGGCAAAAGCGAAAGCTCTACGAGTGGTAGAAGAAGCGAGATCGGAAGGCCTCAAGAACCTGTACTCAGAACTAGGGATAACTACTGACGAGGAGAAAGCTGCTTTTAACTACCTACGATCATTACGGCAAAACAAAAACGTCAAACTTAACGTCGGCTACAAATCCCTCGCTCAATTCCAAAATTAAGACCCACTAACAATGAGTCGCTGACATTGCCAGAATTTTTTGTTTTTGCAACCGAGAGCCTGGCTTAGGCTGACATAGCCACTGTATTTAGGGGGCTGTTAATTCACGAAGTGACGCCGGTATCAAAAGTGCCCATCACTCTCGTTAAGAAGATGATTGAATTTGTAAGTAAAAGTGCTTGGTTTTGTACCCATCCGCTTGTGCAATTTTCTGTAATTTCGAAATAAAATCGTTAATAAAAAAAATGGGAGGAATCTGTTGCAATTTAAGTCACAACCTTCTTGAGGCTTTTTACACCCTTTCACTCCCAAGATCTCCCTAATAATTCTCCTTACTGTTTGCCACACAATTCTTATGATGTTAGTTTGGAGAATTTGTTATTGCATCAACTTGTAATCCCCTAATTTAGTTTCCTTCTTTATTCTCCTCATTTATCTGCTTGATATTGCATTGACACTGTAAGGAGACATTCTCTCCTTTAATGGCAGTCATTTTCTTTATTATCTGTTGGCGACGACTTATTCCCCGTCCATTCCCCCCTGAGAACCAAGTGATTCTCCTCCAAAATCCTCCATTTAAAAAAAGGTTAAGAGGCGACATCTTTGTGAAATGAGTAACAGCTCTGTCTTTTTCTCTGACCACTCTTAACGTAGCGGTCTCCATATGATTCTGGGAAAAAATGCCAGAAACATTCCTCGGTGCTATTTTTTACGCCTCCCCCCCCCTCCCTTCCTGGCGCGTGATTCTCCTTGCACTCGTGATTGCTCGTCTGAATACGACAAGATATGACGACTGACGGCTGTTTTGTTTGCTACGATACTGTAAATGCTGTAGAAAAAAAATGTGTGGCCGGCAACTCAATATTCAGTGTATATTGTTAAATAATCCCCGAGACGAAGTCGAGGGAGTTATTCAACAATATTCACTGAGCCTGAGGTAAATAAATGCTTTAGTATTTCCCAATTCTGTTGTAAATTCGTTTTGTTGTGAAACCATTATGTTTCAATTGTTTTGATTACTCGTACCGAGATAGGCAGTCTCCACTAGAATTTAACAGGTTTATTGAATGCAATGTAATTGAATGTAAAAACCTCTTATAAATTATTTCTTTTGAAAAGTGTTACTCCAAACTTAATGGCATCTTTTGCACTCTCGGGAATTGAATTTTTCTCCAATCACGTCTATCACTTCAAAACGCGAGGCAGCCATTTTGAAATTCAGCACCTGTGCTATAATCTCCCTGCGCGAAGTGATTATAGCGGGAGATGACGCAATCTTCGGCCAATCAGAGCGCGCGCATCTCCATAATCACCAGAATAATTTTACTGAAAAACGATATTCTTGTTAAGAGAACGCCAGCGTCTTGTGAACCAATACTGGGACGTCGTGTAGGTATTGTTAGGTGTCCTGAAAGGTTATTGAACCGTTTTCAAAATGGCAGGGCATAGTTTAGTGAGACAATTTTTAAACAACTGCTATGCTCTTTGGAATATCAAAACCAGCAAGTTGCTGATTTCTAAGTGAATTTTGAGATAGCGATGTTACAAAGACATCGTTTGGTTTCTGGAGCATACATCTTTAACTAGCAACTACGTCAACTCAAAGGAAAGTATTGATAAAAAAGGAAAGAAAAACGAGCCAGGAGAATTCGTGAATGGCCCATGCATTTACCTTTTCTATCGTTACCTGTCCTAACTTCATCATAACGTGGGAAAAAAATGTTAAGCTGCCAATAGAAACATAAATTATTTGCTGTTGGGGTTCCCGTTGTCAAACTATCCAAAGTTTGCTGAGTTCATTTCGTTCATAAGGTTAGACTAGGACGGATGGGAATTTTACAAAGTGATGGAATATTTTTTTCTTCGACATCCTCTGTCCCTTCACCGTCCGGTTTTACTTAATGTCACTTTTATGATTAAATCTCCGGCCTTTCTAGCCATGAACTGTAGCACGAGGGTCAGTGGTTTCTGGATCTTGATATGCGTTGATATCTTAAGGATCTCTCTTCCTTGCAACCACTAGATTGACACTGGTAATCTGTTCCATAGCAGTGGTGACACTTTCAGCCGAGCAGTTTAGAGCTATGATGCCATTGACCTACAGGAGAAGAGCAGTAAAGCCAATTAGTATAACTACACAGTTGAAAAGTGCTTTTCGTTCGCACTGATTAGCTAGTTTGGATGTGATTGACAAAAAGTGTCCACTTCCGACCAACTGTAACGACAAAATCGTGCGTCAAGAGCTATTTTAATTTCGGATCGTTTTTCGGTATATTGGCAGTAATAAACTAGGTTTTTAGTTTCTGCTTCGCGACTCGGGCAATTTAGGGAAAGTTTTGAAAATACGCGTGAAATTAATCCTTAATTGCCCTCGGACCCATGCGATTACATGTAATGTTCAAATTTTGGCCATTTCACGGCTAACAGTAAAACCAAAATGACAAAATATGACACATTGTGATAACGGCTAATTTTTTTCTACCGGCTAACTCCATAAGTACCTCCTATAACCATTAGCAGTAGAAGTCATCAACCCATCGACACCTTCTTAATAATGGTGACATGTTGTCGCCGAAACTTCTTGGTTTAATAACATTGCTTTTTATCATTAAATGATCTGCGGAAAGCTAACATAATCTTGGTTACTATTCTCTGCGTTGTTTTTTTGTTGTTTTTTGTTCTTTAAACAACATCCAGTTTTTCATCTCGCCAATAGTATGGTGATAAAAACATTCATTTGGCAACGAAATCAGTGATCATCAAATCATCATTTTACATGGGTTAACATGCATCTTCATTGGTGAACGTTAGGGTCCATTATCTGGTCTCGGCTAGCCGTGACTACCTTCTTGCGAAATAATCTGGCCGCTGGAGTAAGCCATCCATTTCCTTTTTTTAATTGTTCAAGCAGCTAGCACACGAGAATAGTGAACTCGGGTCAGGGGGCGAGATGTCTCGCCTTAGCAGGCAGGGTACTTTGGTCATGCGAGACAATTTTTCTCATATAACACTTCGGCTCGCCTTCCAGAGAGGAGACTGATAATGTTCTATCTTAGTCCGAGAGAGACTAGAGGGGACCGCTCTTCCAACTCAAAATTCCATAAAAGTTGTGAAGTTGTCTCAACTGAAGAGGGCTTTTTCGCGTACCCGAGAACAAATCAATAGAGCCATAGGTTATAGTAAAACTGCAGTGAAAACTAAATAAGGCGGACACCATATAAAGCGGACACTATGCGCTGAACGAACAGTTTCCCGAGTCCTGGATGAACCTCTTGTATCAAATTGAACGCGCGCAGACAGCAACATTTCAGGCATTCGTTAATCAGTTTAAACCTCAAGCAGACAGCGCTATTAAATATTATAACTTATAGACTATGTGGGAGGGCCGGACGGGGAAATATTTAGCTCGAATTTATAACGCACGTGCAGAAAAAGTGCAAAAAAGATTCTGCTCAAAAGTTTTGACTTTTTTTTCGACTCAGAACAAGAAGATAACAATTTATCGAAAAACGCAACTTTTCTCATTTCTGGTTTTTTTTTTCCGCAAGAAAGCTGGACACCTTTTCTCGCAACGGCTCAAGTGGACTCGTCCGGCCCCACACTCGTCAGCTTTCATTGTGGTTTTCTAAATTTTAAGCTTGACGATCGCCCACCCCGTTATATTTGAGTTTCAGCGATTAACCACTATTACCAATTGCGAAAACTCACTAATAAGAGGAAATCCTGTTTCATGTGCAAACTGGCGAGAATCCTGTCGTTGTCAACGACGATTTCACGGTATGCTGAAGCATGAAACCATATTTTTGCGACATGCGTGGTTTTGTCATGTTTGCGACATAAGGGCACCTTTCATGATGTTCAGTTGGTTGATGCTACGAGTTTGCTTCATTGCAACTCACCTCAATTATCAAATCTTCAACAGCCAGTTCACCACATCTCTCAGCCACTCCTCCCTCAGTTAATCCGACAATGTACACTCCATGTCGAGGATGAGGACTTCTCAGGCTTGGATTTGGCTTCTCAGAGGACGAACCATTTCTGGGCGTTTCAGACGCAGTAGTAGAATATTTCAACCTCAGAACCCCTCCATCGTCGGGACAGTTATTTATATTGTTATCCAGCCCCGTTTTTTCCTGATTTTTTGTCTCGTGTTGCCTCCTCATAAAAGGGCTTCTAGGGAGGTCACCGCTGTCTCTTCGACCCAGTTTCAAGCCCCAGTCTTCCTCTAATTTACGCTGAAGTGATACAGCCTGTAGGTTTGAATGTCGAACGATATCAAATAAACCATGACCAGTCTTATCCACTTCATTTCTGAACTTGTTTACATCGCAAATATGATCATGGCCTCTTTTGATACCAGGTGAAGAAGCTTGGGAGCTCAATAATTTCTTTACGGTATCTGGTAGACTTAAACGCGAATCAACTTTGTTCCTTTCGTTACACCGACCCAGTACGCTTGTTCCTTCAATTTCAGCTTCTCCAACGTCTGGCTCCTTGTTATAACATCGTTCTAACTGACTGTTTTGATCATTCTTTGAACCCTCAGATTTAGGCCCATTACGGAATTCGCTGAAACTTTTCCTAAGGCTCTCCAGTAGAGACTTTTTTCGTCTAGGTGGTTTGGTCGACACAGAGGAAGCAGTTTCTGGGCCGTCTGATTGTTCATTGCAAGATTCCTGTGGGAGAACACCCTTGTCGATCTTCTCTGGAACCTTTAAGTAATTTTCTCCCTTTCCATTGGAAAAATTACAACTCTGTGTAGTTGTGCTGCTTTCTGCCATCGCCCAGCCGATTTCAATTTATTCTCGAATAGCTTCTGATAAATAAACTTGGATCTGATAGACTTACTGCTGGATTAAATTATTTTTCCTGGTCTTTCGTAATATGCAGTTATCCTGCGACGTCACTCAGAAATACAGAAAAAAAAAATCAATCCTTTAACTGTTATGAAGTACGGTAATAAATCATCCCACCTCAATGTTACTGATTGCTTTATTCAAATTTGAAAAAAATCTGAATCGTAACGTGTCCCTGCACAGCCCGAGGCGAGACATAACAAATTCGGCAGCTAAATCAACCGATATAAGTTATCAGATGTATTTCAATAATTCTATGAATTTTACTTCCCTGAAGGCGCTGTAAAGACCTATTTTCGTTTTTCTCGCAAGAAATGCTAATTTCATCAAAAGATTAGAACGGAAAAAATGCAGTTAAACCCTTTCGTGCAAGGCCTAATGCAAGCAGCTAGAATTAATTGATTCGGCCCACAAGTTCTGTCTGTCCTATTTGCCTAATCAACCCTTATCCTTTTTACCAGTTGCATTTCAAACTACAAATCAAGCATACCCTCAGGCAACAAAATTATGTTATCTCCAAAACCATCCATACTGTTGCTTTTTAAGGACAGGTTTGTTTAATGGAAAACTGAACTGCATCAGGCGGCAAGATGTTAGGATTTTCGTGTTTTTTGTGCTTTTTTTGAAGGAAAGTCACGGTTCACCTGCTCCGATTCCACTTAGCACCTGTGAAAATTAGCTAACAAAATATTTGAGAGCAAAATTCATGGTGCATCACAGCACATGCAGCCAAGCCAGACACTTCTGTTTATAATTATGGCACGTCTTGTGTAGGCGTATCTTTTCACTCACGTATAAACTGACCGCCCTCTTGACTTAGGCGGATATTTAACGGATAATTCACGATACAATTTGAGAGTTTTAGGGCCGTCAGAAAAAAAAATTCATTCTTGTTAACTTCCCAGTCATTAGATGCTTTGATGCAGCAGTGGTTAAGTGAAAGTTCACTCAAGCGACACCATCTTTGCTAACTGTTCCTAGAGCCCAGGGCTCCTGACTGTACCTAGATTACGCTGAGCCTTTTTCTATTGGCTCTTGTGAAGAGAAGAAAACGTGTAGATTACAAATACAGATCAAATTCGTACTTCTTTCTATTTAAGATGAAAGATATCGGCGGTTTCTGTGGTTGACACAAAAGACTTCCGACTACAGGCTAGGTTAAATATTACCTACTTAGCGAGCCGTACCTCTCTTGTCCCGCATCCCCCAACTTTTAAAAAAGCCTTCCTTCTCGGCTCAGAGAGCAAAACAAGGAGGCTTTGTAAAGAGATCACAGGCTTAAAATAGATAAGATCCTGTTCTCCTTTCCCAGAGTCAAATAAGAGCGCAGAAATTTTGTTCCAAGGCATTTAAGTGGAAGGTGGGGGCAGGGGGCGAGAGCCCGGAAGAACAGGTGGCGGGAGAGGACGGGAATCGCAATTTATCTGAGAGCGGGAAAGCAAGAGCAGATAGTAAACATAGGAAGCTTAAGACTGCATTTGGCTACTGATATAAAATAATTTTCGCAACATGAAGAAGAACTGGAGGTTGTATGATAATGCTAGAAGGTAGAGTTGCAGAGATTTGTTTCACATGCAAAACAGAAAAACCTGCCGTATCCCACATATTCATGAGTACTCTGTCTACAAGAGAAAGTCCTTCTTTTACCCAGCGAGCAAAACAAGGAGGCCTCTTGAAGATATAACAGGCTTAAAATAGATATGGTCTTAGTCTCCTTCATCAGAGTCTAAGACGAGCGCAGAAATTTTGTTCCAAGACCCCATCAAAATACCAAACGTAAGCGCAAAATTTTTGGCAGGTGTTAACAAATGAATGAAACAGAAAAACGGGTCAGGAATTTTTTTTCCGGCAGAACAGTTGCATGATAGTATTTCTTGTTTATTTTCTTCTTTAGCTCTAGCTCTAAAGCAAACTACTTCTCTTTGCCATTATGTCTTTCTCCATGTTTGGCAAGCGAAGCGATTTTAATGTCAACGTGTTCGCCACTTTGTATAGAATAAATGTCTGCAAGTGAAAATTCTTTGCGGAAATAAAATGAAGGCAATATATCCCAATTGACAATATTGCCTTAATTTGATTCCTGGAACAAATACAAAATTATCAAAGGAACATTGCAAAGACAGCTGAAATCGCAGCGACAGCTGAGAACGAAAACTGTGACGTCATCACCGTACCAAGCCCTTCGCGATGTTAGTTCTCAAAATGGCGGCTTTGTTTAAGCCGAGTACGAGGGAACCAAGGGAAATACAGTTTGAATTTTACGCCAACAACGACCTTTTTAAGATACATAGCCAACTTTAGATTATGTCTAGGGGTCCACCCCATCGGTGAGTAGCAATATTTCTTCCTAGTATCTCATTTTTGAGAAGCAGTGCGCGGTTACTTGTAAGTGTTTTTTTAAACCCTGGTCATTGAACCGCAAACCGATGTCACTTCAACAAATGCATCTACTGTGATGTGTTCGAATAAGGATCTTTGTAGCCTAGCGTTATAAGTAAATTGACTAGAAAAACTCTTTGATGGACAAGATATCCCAAGGTTTGAAGGTAATATGCAAGAACTTGATACAAACATAAAGTACCTTTAAGGTAAAAATGTCTGCTGTTGTTCAAATATATTGTGTTATTGTGTTAAAGATACACTCCTGGTGATGAGAGATCATTCAGAAGATATCAACAAAGATATGGAGAATTTTCCGGGTAACATCCACTGCCATCTTGAAGTAGTGCATGTTCGAATTTAAAAATTCTCTAAAATAAGATGTTCCCCACTTGTTTAACATGTCTGTCGCTGCATCTAAACAGCTGCCCTCACACATTGTTTTTGCTTTTCTAATTGGGTCATTCTATGGTTACATGATGAGAAATATATCAAATCGTTATTTAGTTAAAACAAATTTAAGCTGGCCAAATATGTTTCATGTTTAATTTTTTTTTTAGGTTTTAATCGCACCTGTAGATACTAAAATCAGTGACATATATTACGTTGACGATAGAGTAACAAAAACTTGATCAATATAAATTTTATAATGAAAAGAATAATTTTCTGATAATTTATATTACATGAGTAGCAAAAGTACAGTTCTTAATTGTTTTAAGCTTATGTTACCCGCCTTCAATGCATGTTTCATGGGGATATTGATAACATGATGTGGATAAACTATACATACAGTGATTGTAGTTGTAATCAGTGCATCAAGGAAGATATTGATTAACAATGTTGCTCTAGCTTAGAATTAACAACATGTTTTATCAGCTGTCATTCATTATGTATCTACTAATAGTTACACTGTTTGCATGTATCACTTGAAAACTTGAACTGACATAAAAGAAAAAAACCCTGGTTTCTTCTGCCCTCCAATTATTGATTTCTAGGAATTAGTACAGTTTGTATGGGAGTAAGATACAAACAACCTGCACACAAATGGTAACCTCTGCTGAAGAAATTTGCATTCATAAATGTAAGGAATTGATTCCATGTTGCAGTGGTTCTGTTCAATAATAGATCACAGATGAAGTCTGTTTTGAATTATTTCTCAATTGATATATATTTTTGCACTAATTATTCAATGAATGAAATAGATAAGACTTCAGATCAAACTCGCTCGCATTTCATTTTAAGTCATATCTTAAATTTGCTATTTCCAAATTGACATGCAGTCAGGGTACCCATAGCCATTTTCTCATGTAACTTTATTTCATGCACAAGGATCTACCTTTCAGGTACAATAGCTTTATATTATTTGTATTTTTCTTTCCCTTTAATGTCCAATTGCAGATTTCTATCTTACTTTAATTTCCGTTTTATTTTTCATGCCTCAAGTATGATCGCAATGTTGTCACAAATCATGCAAAATTGTAGCTATCTTTGTTTTTTCAGAATTATTAAATATTACAGGAGTCCTTGTGTTGAATCATGTGTTTGTTTGTATCAAAGTCAAAATGTGGTAAGGACAAAAATGTGGCATGCAAGATGCAAGCATGTCACTTATATTCTTATCACATTTTTACATCTTCTGTGATCTTTTACTTAACAGACTCACTGTAACATGGAACCTATTTTTTTTATATGATGAAAAAAAATTGTTATTTGTGATGTCGTCTGTGCTTCACTAAATCAATCACTAGAAGCAATCAAAATGCGTGTATTACTCATAAAAATACATGAAAATACATAGATCACAGAAAGTATCAGTCCCAACTTTGCATTTAATCTCAAATAAGAAAGGTCAGTGTACTAACAAGAAAGGTCAAAAGCTAGATCAGATTTTCTCGAAAGAGAGGTAAACCCTTGTTTTCATAGGTGATGGAACAATTCTCTTTCTGATGTTTCTGGAGTTCTTGCAGTTTGACTTTCGTTTGGCAATTACGTCTCTTAATTAGAGCGAACTAGAATTAATTATGAAAACTTGTTAATCCAAGAATCTGTACATGTGTTGAGACTACAACCATAAAGAAAGACATTGATTTTTATTTTTTAATTAAAGGTTCTTTCAATTTTATGTTTAATCAAAATTAAGATAATAATGGTCACTATGGTGTTGCTACCATTTCTGCATTTATGGAATTGATAAAAAAATTTTGTGAGAACTCAGTTGGCACTTAGGCCCTGATGCATGCAATAACAAGTTTTGTTTCATTTTTATTTTTGGATTTCAGGCGTGCACTCATTGGTTAATTCAAATGAGTTAAATTTAATGATGTAACATGTATTGTCATGTGTAGAAAAAAAAAAGTGAATTTGGGATTTTTGGGTCAAACTGGACTTTTATTGTTCCTTCAGCACTGAAAGTAGTTTTATACGCGATTTTGAGGGCTGTCAGGAAAACCTCAGGACATGTGGTATTATTATCATGACAATGATGCAATAATGATAATAATAGTGTAATTTCACTTAAAGGAATATTTGAAGCTAATTGTGTAAAGTAATTATAACATTTGATCAATAATTTTATAATACCTTGATGCATGTACTTTTAGTATTATCATCATCATTCATATAATTATCATTTGTTGTAATATCATTCTAACCTACTTAACATTTGAAATTATGAAGATTTTCAAACATTTTTGTGTAGTCCCCACTTCTCTTTGTAATATTTTTTAAAAAAATCTTTGTGCACAAGATCTAAAGTACATCTGTTTGACAGAATGTTTTTTTTATTAAAACTGAATTATAGATAAGGTCTCTTCATGTTTTAGGTTTGGAAGAGCAGTCCAAAACTTGCTTAAAAAAAAATTTGTATTACTTTAGTATAAATTTCTCCTTCTGCAAAAGTAGAAATGTATAATTGAACAATTAATCATTTGTCTCAGGATGTAAGAGTGAAACTAATCAATTGTGTATTTCAATCAATATGTTAATTTTTTTAAGGCTAACTCTTACATCATGAGACAAATGATTAAATGTTCATTTATCTATAAAACCATGAGGAACAACAATACTTTCTCTAACATATAGAAATATATTTTTAATGAACCTTTGTTTGGAGTTGTATTAATTTTTGGGTTTTCATTTTTTTTTTACGAGGTGTTTTAAACCTATTTAAAATTGTGCAAATTTGTTTGAATATGCTGTGAATTTTTAATATTAGGTGAACAAAATGTTTTCTTGATAACCATACATAACAGTTAACTTTATTTATACTGTTCTATACTTTTTCAATGTTGAATACCTGCATTTTAAAGATTAACTTGTTCCATAAATTCTTGGAAAAATGAACTTTTAAGGTCAACTTACATTGTTCTATGTAATATATAAAATGAGGAAGTTTCTAATTTATATTTTTTTCCGGATGTAAGGTCATCAAGCTACGGTTACTATGGAGGCCCACCATACAAAAGACAGCGCCACCTTAGTGATGAGGACATATGTCCCCCACCTGGGGCAGATTATAGTCATGCTGCCTACTTTGATCCTCCATATGTAAGGCACCAGGTATGAACTTTTTTGCTACATCTGCTTTATAAATTTTGCTGGTAAACAAAGATAGAATCATGCCCATAATTATTTAAAGAAACATCATTCTTTCTTTTACCCTTAACTCCCAAAAACTCATAAGTAATTCCCCTTACTGTCTCTCATATGTTGTTCAATTCTTTGAACAGTGTATGTTCACTGTTAGTTCATAGAATTTGGTATTGGATCAACTAATAATCACCTAATGGATATTTTTCTATATTCTCATCAGCTGTCTGCTTTGTATTGTATTGATATTGTAAGGAGAAATTCTCTCTTAGTCACACAAGGGTGTTAAGGGTTCATGAAACAAAATTTGAATTGTTTTTCTCAGGAGGTTGGATTGGGGGACTACAATGACTTTAGTTCAATTAGTGAGAAGGATATGAAAATGGAAAGGTAGGTGTACTGAACTATTTTGACTTATACTTTTAAATTAATGTTAACTCTTAAATTCCCAGACCAAATATACAATTCTTATAATTTTAGTTCAGAGAATTTAGTATTGGATCAACTAATTATCCCCAAATTGATATTTTTCTTTATTATCATCACTTATTTGGTTGATATTGCATTGATATTGTAAGGAGAAATTCTGTCTTGGTCACTCATGGGATTTAAAGGGTTAAAAGAATTCATAAATATAATTAATATATATTGTGTTGTTATTATTAATGAGATTATAATAGAATTGAATTAATTTCCGTGATGCAAGCAGTAAATTGTAAGAAGTAGCCATGAAAACCATGATGATCCTATATCGTGAGGCCATTTTGACTCTAGTAGGGAGAAGGGATGGGGCAGTGATTCCTGGACCTGTTGTCACATCTGGGTTGAATTTGTTGTTGGTTCTTGTCCTCACTCTGAGGGTTTTTCTCTAAGTCCTCTGGTTTTCCTCTCTCCACAAAAACCAAGATTCCAATTCAACCTGGAAACAGTGGAAAAGAAGAGCCACCTTGTGATATGCCCATTGCTAAATCCCACATGTTTTCAAATAAAATTGATACACTCCTTCAGAATTTTTATACCTCAACCATAGATTTTACTTCATGTACTTGCTGTTAGGTTCACGATAGCTTCAAAATGTTGTACAAGCTGTTGTTTTGTTTTGCGTTTTAAGAAAATTGAATATGCTGTGTATTATGAATTATCCACTTGCATGTAATTTTCAGAGAGGGAATTAAGAAAGAATTTGAAAGATCTGAACTTCATACCAAGAAATGGCAGACTTCTTCAGAAGGCAGTGGGTATTCTACCAGTGCTCCATCATCACCTCACTCAAGAGTATCCCCAAAGATCTCACCACGCCTTTCTCCTCGAGTTGGACCAAGTACTCCTCCATCTTCAACTTCTCAGCCAACACCAGTCTCAATTTCAACTTCTGGACAAGATCAGTCCAAATCACTTTCACCATCATTTTCAGATGAAGCAGCGTCATTTTCAAGGCATCATTCCTTGCAGGTTGTTTGTACAACATCATCATCACTGTCTTCACAAATGTATGGGGCTGCTGTTCATGAAAAAATAAGAGATAGTACTGGAAGACCAGCCCTGATTTCGCCATCTGCAAGTGACCCACAAAAGGTACTTAATTCACTGAATGGGATATAATCTTGTTTGTTATCTCACACAATAAGTGATTATTGAACAAGACGACAGTGTTACTCACATGGCCATGTCTTAGTTAAATGATCTACTAATGGAAATGTTATGTTTCACTTAACAGGATTCGTACCCTGGCCCTACTATTGAAGCTATATCTCCATCAGCACCAGGTATACATGTACTAGCTTCTCATCTTTTTTGCCTTTCTTTTGCATGTGATCTCATATGGGGGAGACTTACTCAGCATGTTATCCTTGCAGAGTGTGAATGTTATTGATTCAGAAGTTATTTTGGTAGGTTCTGAAGGCCAAAGTGAGGAGAAGAAAGCAGTTACAGAGGATCCCTCTGATCTGATGTCTAAAGATGAGCTTCTCCAGGGGATGGAGAAGGTGGACAGAGAAATCTCACAGGTGGAACAGCAGATCAACAACCTCAAGAAAAAGCAGGTTAGACTTGTTGATGTAGGTTTGGAAAAAATTCATTTGTCAGCCGCCAACTTTTCCAGTAATCCCTGTGCAATTTAGTTCCACTTGTTGGATCTTGCTTTCAATTGATATGACCTTTTGTCTGCGATTTGTCCCTTTTCAATGGGCTAGATACATGAATGTCCAATAGGATTGTATTGGTTTTTCTTTGCTTGGCCCTCCCATTAGTCCATCAAACTTGCACTACTATAATCTCAACTAATCAGATTTAAAACTAAAACCAAGCACGACTTGGCCACCCTTGTTTTTCCTGCACTTCAAGTTCTCTTTGGTTCATTAGGGTATTTTCCTTTCTTTTGTTTGGCTATAATGATAACTTTGGTTTTGGTTTAACAACACTCAATCGAAAAGCCCTCTAACAACAAAACCATAACCAGCAGTCAATCAGTGTAAAGGAAAATGTCATAGGGGACCAGTGAAAATAATGCAAGCAACTGCCTCAAGCACAGGGAGAAATAAGTGAACAGGTGATAATTGGCTTTTGTTTTGAACTTGGTTCTTGGAGAGAGTGACACACTCCATTTTCTGCATATAAACATGCACACAACCCACAATTCTTCCATTTGCTCTGACGAAGGGCTAATGCTTGAAACATCAGCTTTGAAACTCTTTACTGTGGCCAATTTACATTATCAACTCAATTGATAATAATAAATTACCCTGTTATACTCTTCCACTAATGCAGCACCACAGTTTCTTTAGACTTACCTCCTTTATTCACAAGTTTTGTTAGCCAACCAGCAAAGTGAAGCAGAACCAATGCATTACAGGATGATTTCAACACTCACTTAAAAATTGCTTCCCCTTAACGATTTTATCCCCAATGACCACTGAGAGTGACTAGCATCTAATTTATGCTCACAATATCACCCCTGAATCAATTTCTAAGGTTGCAAGTATGAAGGGAAAAAATCGTCAACTAAAGAAGCTCTTGATTCTTGAACAAATGCTCCTTGACATCACCATAGGAAATGTATAGAGAACTGTTTGGAGAGTTTGCATGGCGATGATAGGATGCAAAAGGGTTGATTACTAATGAATTGAATAAATAAAATTTTAGAAACAACTTGAGGAAGAGGCTTCAAAACAGCCCAGTGAGCCACCAGAGGAAGAGCTACCACCCCCGACACCTAAACCCAAAAGTATTGTACAGAAGATTTATGAGGAAAACCAGGTATGTCATTATAATCAAACTTCAAAGGTTTTCCCTTTATAATTACTGCTTTAACAGATCATATTTCTTGCTCCTTTACACAAGTCCAAACTGATTAAGAAACTTAAGGGAGCTAGAAGATTGATTGTACTTTAAATGATATTTTACCAGGAATGATGAAATTGTGTTAGAATGACATGAACATGTAGCAAGAACATCAATGATGTAATGTATAGCCCCTGATGTGCCACTTTTTTTTTGGCTTCACCTCATTTTGAGGTCATCCGTCATTTATTACTGAACAGAGGCCTAACAACGTTTGTAAGGTCCCTTTGGATAACAGCTGTGTAACTGAATGGGCCACCCTGGCTAAATAAAATCTTTCTTTACCTATACCTAACATGAAATCTATATGTATAAGTCAATTTCTTGTGGTAGTGATATAACCGCCAATACTCAGAAATAGCCAATAAGTTAATGTGTTAAATACAACTTGGAAAGGAAAATTCTAGATAACTCTCAGAAAGTAGTTAGGTGCTTCTACCGAGTCAAATATGAAACCATGTGTGGTGAGCCAGGGAAATATTAGATGGTTCTTTATTCTCTTGAAGGAATGAGCTCACAATGAAATGAAATTAATAATAATATTTAACTGTGAATGATATGCAAGTAACAAATTAATCGTCATAGGTAAACTGCTGTTAAAGAAATTGTACAAAAAAAAAGTGACCCAAATATTTTAACAAATTTGATCCATGAGAGAAGAAATAGACAATGTATTGACTCTACAACGGTATCACAAACCATTATTGGTAAGAATTGAATAGTTACATGTGCTTGTAATACTGAATGCCAACACTCAGCTGTGATTTGATCATGCAGTCTGATCATTGCGGCAAGATTAGTTCTGTGAAGGACTGTTGTAGGCAGTAGTGACAGATGTTCAACAACCTTAGTGGAAGTCAATTCTGATGATGACTTCTGCTACTAAGGTTGTCAAAACAGTCCTTCCTCTCAGAACCACTCTCACCTGGATGATTAGACCACACCATCAAATATCACTAGTGAGTTCCAACCATTAACCCTTTAACTCTCATGAGTGACCAAGAGATAATTTCTCCTTACAATATCAATAAAATTTCAAACAGATTAGTAATGAGAAATTAAAGAAATATGTCAATTTGGGAATAATTAGTTGATTAAATGCTGAATTCTCTCAACTAACATTATAAGAATTGTATGGTTGACGGTAAGGAGAATTACAAATTTGATTTGGGAATTAAAGGGTTAACTGTACTCAGTGTTGATTGAAGTGTCATAATTGTCTTATGTACAGAAAAAGGCTGAGACTGCAGAAGCAAGGCTGGCAAAGCTCAGTGTGCCACTTCCAGGAGGAAAGGTATGAAGTATAATCATTTTGAACTACTACATTGCCACTTCCTATGCTTAAGGTACCCCCAAGATGAAAAAAGGAAAGGTTGTTATCATTTGATTCTAGTTGTATCTCACCATTTATTGCACATTTATTGTAAAATAAAATAATAATTTTTTTAGAGATAAAAGTTGGAAATTCAAATTCTTTAACCTTACCTGATGGATTCTCATTTGATGTCTTTGGTTTTTTTGTAGCCCTTGTACAATCAACCATCTGATCTCCCTTGTTACCATGAGAATCTTAGAAAGTGAGTGATGTACAATGTAGCTAACATGCACCTGTTCCTTTGATTAATTCAGATATTCTATACACCCCAGTATTACAGTTTGTAAATATCTGCTCTTGATGGTATTGGTTCATAGATGATAGTTTTTAGCACTCATTTTGCTGGAAGTATGGTTTGGTGGACATTTGTCCACGTGATCAGCTCCTCGCTTTAAAAGACAAAACTTCCAAGGACTTAATCAGTTTCAAATATTTAAAAGATGCAGTGCACAAAAACTGTAATTTTTCATAGCAAGTGTTTTTCTATGAGTTGTTAACAGCCAATGTCAAAAGGGTTTGTGTAAGAATGGGGTGCAGTGTTTTTAGAGGTATAGTTGATGAAAAAAATGTAAGAATGCTGTAGTAAATTTTTGATATACGTAGAGGTCTAGTTCATGAAAAAATGTTTACTGTTGCAGAGCCCCAGCTATTAAAGCTAAATTGGTCAAATATTTCCAGCTACGAAAGCAAGCAAAAGAACTCAAGGTAGAGATGACTCCCTCTATTCACTGCCTGGTTTAAACAAGTTTTAAAATTGTTTTGTTTCATCCTTATATCTTTTGTGGTTCTAAGTTTCCTTAGTTTAATATATTATTTTTCAACTTGTTTGTGTATTCTCTGTTTCCTTAGCCCTACTCAATTTTATTGTAACCAATTAATTTCATATTCTTTGTTGAAAAGTACAGGGTGACTTAGTTGGGTAATGGTAGACTCTGGACTCTGGGTTTTGGAAGTTTAAAACCCTAAGAAAATTTATAACAAATTTGTTTTTTTCTTTCAGAATCGTCAACTCTGTAAAGAATACAAGACTTTGAAGCAAGCATGGCTCAAGAAAATTGAGAGAAATGAAAACAATCCAAAAAGAAAGTGAGTGCACAGATCTGCCCATTATGATTACTCTTTACTTGTTAATAAAAGTTCTTTGTTTTATTGAATAGCCAAAAAAAGTTGGACTGCAATTTTGATGAACCATAATAACTTTCTATCAAATTGAATAATTCATGACATAAGGTTCCGGGTAATTGTTTTTATTAATAATTAATTCTTATTTTGTATAATAATATTGTGCTTATTCCATGAAGACAAAAGGAGGCTAAGCTGAGGGAATTTTATGAAAAAGTTTTTCCTGAAATCAGAAAGCAAAGAGAACAGACAGAACGGTTTGCTAGGTGAGTTAGATATATGCTAACTTTAAACTTGATTTGGTTTTATCATTGCCTATATATTAATTTTGGTAGCTGTTTGAAACAAAACACCCATTTGTTTTTTAGATGATGATGATTATCATAATTATTGTTAATGTTATTATTAGTCTTATTTGATTGCGTCTACTATTTTAAGTATTAAAATTACAGTGTCTCCCTACAACCCTAAACCCATAACTGATGATGCTAACATAACAAAGTTACTCATTATGTGTAATGACAATTGCTTAACAAATGGCAAACATTAACACCACTGTCATGCATAAATTACTCTTCCTAACACACATGGATAAGGCCCAGTTCAAACATTGTGCTATTGTCGTGTAGAACTCAATAAATCAATCAAGTTTGACATTCCGCACAACTGTAGCTTGACTTTTGAATTCCATATTGCACCAGAATTGGATAGTCCTGAAACTGAGTTGCCCTACTCAACTCAAGCATGATGTCTGAATCAGAGTTGTGCTTCTTCCCTGCCATAGTGAACTTATTGCACTTAAGTTATGTACAGTGGAAGTACAACATCTGAACAGGGTCTATCTTGCTTTCTTACATCACTGGCTTATATACACAACCTACGTATGCATACATACTGATATGTGAATCACTCTCAGAGCTGGTTCTTTATTTTAAAGAGTATGCAACTTACAACATCTTTGAAAAACATGCAGTACTTACGTCGCCCATAGAAAAAAATTGCAGTTTATTGACAGATCTGTATCCTATCAATTGAATGAATTTATGTTTAGAAAGAAATTGTACAATGCCAATCAGTACTGCCCACCACCTATTTGACTCATAGTCAAACATAAGTTTGCCCCTTTTTTTGTGACATGCCTGGTGATTTCTTTGGTAATTAAAAGATATGAAATTATGTTTGTTACAGAATGGGCTCCAGAAGTAACTGGGGTATTGTGGCCAGAAGTGAAGCTGAATTTAATGAGATTGTAGACAATTTAAATGAGCAGGAGGTAAGGGGAAGGAAAAATGGAAAGAACTATTAATCCTTTTAACTCTCAAGATCTGATTGTTAAATCTCCCCTGTAGCTGCTACGTATTTTCTTGTAAATTAGTTACAAGAATTTGGTGTTAGATCAAGATAAAAACGTCTACCATATGTTAGAGTATTCTCATCACCTGTTTGCATGATAATGGATGGATATTATAGCGAGAAGTTACATATTGATCACCTTTAGGAGTTAAAAGTTTAAAAACAGCTATCATGGAATGCCTAAGGTTCTTACTTAAAAGAATAAAAAGAAATCTGAGGAATACTTGCATCACAATTAGCTCTCTGATTTTCAAAGCTACTCTACAGACAAGTGTTGTAATTGTTGTTGTTAATGTTTTCATTTTTATCCTTGGTTGAGATTGGATCTGTGTTTGTTTCTAGTCATTATCATATTCAGCAATGGAGGAAAATAAGAGTTTGACCAATTTCTCTCTGTTTTAATGGTTTTATAATTGAGATATTCTTTTTTTGCTGTAAGTTATTTTATGTTTTGTATGAAAGATGTCTCATTCCTTTTTATCAGGCTAATGAACGTCATATGCGCACTTTAGCTGTTGAACCTCCGCCTTTACTTGACAAAGAGGAGAGACGAGTGAAGTTTATCAACAGAAATGGTTTGTGCTGTACCTTGTATAAAGTAGATATATACAATGTACATGTACATCTTTCTATGTCAGGCAGTCAGTCATCAGGCCATGGCGTTGTTGATCTTCAGTTACAGTTTATCCATTTCCATCACAGAGATTGGGTTATTGATATATTATTTATGTAATAGTATAAGGACTGAGTGGGGTGAAGTCCAATTCCATATTAGTCCAATTCTAATATTATCAATTAGGTAACATTATTTATTATACATTTGAACATTAATAAGATACAGGACCTTAAGGTGTAGATATTTATTTTATATATAAGCCTTATTTTACAATTATTTCTATGCATCTATTCATTTATCTATTTATCTGTATAAATAAGTTTAAATCCTTATAGAAGAAATTTAAAAAATTGTTATTAACATACGTTGATTAACAAAATACGATGACCATGAAGAGGGAGTCAAACAGAAGATGTTGGAAACTCATGAGAATGACAGTTCACAGACTATTTCCTCCTTCTATAGGCCTCATAAGGGATCCACTTGCAACACTGAATGAAAGGAAACACAAGAACATATGGACTGAGAAAGAGAGGCTGATCTTCAAGGACAAGTAAGTGGCAAGGGCTCCGTGATAACAGTTTTTTTTAAGGGAGATCACGGAAAAAGTACAACAGGGTAATTCTGTATTATCAACTGAGTTGATAGAATAAACTGGCCACTGTTAAGAGTTTTAAAGTTGATATTTCAAGCATTAGCCTTTTGTCAGAGCTCTGACGATGGAATTATGCTCAAAACGTTAGCTTTGAAACTCTTTATGGTGGCCAATTTACATTATCAAGTTGGTTGATAATACTAAATTGCCCTGTTATACTCTGCCACCAATGCAGCACCACAGTTTCTTTGGAAACTAACCCCCTTAATTCAATGAAAAAGTACTTTGATTGATCAAATATTAGCTCCAGGATATAAAAGTGTTGTTTTGACAATAAGGATTCAGATCCTGGCAGTGGTTCTGTGTCAAAATTTGGCACTTTAAGTTTATCAAGATTCATGAAAGAATTTTAATTATCAAAGTATAGAATTAAGTTTCAACTGTTCTACTAACCCAAGCTTTAGAAACTCTTTATGGTGGCCAATTTACATTGTCAACTCAGGTGAGAAAATCAAATTATCAGGTAACTTCCCAGTGGAGTAGCACTGCAGTCTCTTTGGAGACATATTCCCTCTCAACTCAGAATAACATAATTTCCTTTGTTCACTTCTTTTCTCTTGTCTTTAAACCGTATGCTTTGTACTATTTTATACTTATGTTATAAGGAAGACTTATGTTCAGTGTTTGCTTTACAGATTTATTCACAATCCCAAGGACTTTGATTTTATTTCTTCATTCCTACCTGGAAAGGTTAGTCAACATCATTATTCATCAGCCATCTTAATTCTGTGTCTACATGTATGAAAAACAAAAGTGAAGTAAAAAGTTGCAATGTTTCTAAGTTTACTAATATATAGATTTAGGCAAGCCTAAAAGCGGAGCTCGCAATTTTTTTTTCCCGCACGTCTCTTCAACAAAACTAAAGCCCCTACTATGGATAAAGTGCGTAGTAATATTAATGGATTTTCATTCGCAACTTCTCCGTGTCCGTGTAGAGGACTGATTATAAGATAGTGCCCGTGGTACAGTTGGCCGCGCATGCTAAAAGTAGCACCTTGTACGGTCGGTCTTACGATCGTACGGTCGTACATCCAAATTTTTTCGGCTTGATGGGTTACTACTATATTGTATCATTATGGGGCTGCGCTCTGCGAGCTCCGCTATTAATATATGCTGTTGAAAATTCAAGGCTGAAAATTGAGTATGGTTGTTCAGGATTTAACCCTTTGACACCCATGAGTGACTGGCATCTAATTTCTCCTTTCATTATCACCCCTGAATCAAACATTAAGGTCAGGAGAATAAAGGAAATGATCATAAACTGAAGAAGTATTGTTTGTTACACAAATTCTCCTTGGGAAATGTATAGAGAACAGTATGGAGAATATGCATGGTGACATCAGGTTGTGAAGGGTTAAGTCAGTATATGTTGGAATAGTGCAAAATAAAATTGAATGTTTGATGCATTGTCATGCGAGCGGTGTTGAGAAGAGTGTGACTTTGCGTGACATTACCTTGCGTTATGCCTTTTTTTGTGAGACAATGAGTGACAGCTGTCAAGTGATTTTACGGATAAAAACCATGCGGTTCGCGCTGTGTTGGTTGTTGGGATTTAGAATTTCTGAATTTCTGTTATCATTTTTTAATAAATCGTTGTGTTTTCATTCTGGTGTTCGTTTATATCTTCGCAACAAGCGGTTATAGTCATTTACTTCTAACGTGTAAAGAGGGAGGGAAGATTCTAACTTTTGTTTGATTACGGCTTACTGTTATGTTAAGTATTTGTCTCACTTAACAATGCATGTGGAGCGCTTCATGATAATTCAATGAAAGTTTTGGTTTCGGCTTATTGCCGAATGTTTATGGTTTGCGTTTCATTAGCATCCAACAGCTTCTAAAAGCTAAAAGTGCGGGGTCTCAGCTTATAGGCAAATAAATGCGATATAACGTGAGATCCCCTCTGTACTTAATATTTCATATTATTTCCATTTCTAGAGTGTGGGAGACTGTATCCTGTTTTACTATCAGACAAAGAAAAAAGAACATTACAAACAGTTGTCCAGAAGACACAACCTCAAGAAAAGAAGAAGGGACCAAGTATGTAAATGAATTATTGTGCATACACTGAATTAATTGAACTGCCCTCTAACAGTTTCATATGAGAAACCCTGGAAATCACAACTTTAGAACAAAACAAAATATGTTTCTTTAGCATTATCATTGTTAGCCCTTCACACCCTAACATCAATATGCATATTGTCGAAGTCAGACAAGCAAACATAACATCCTTCATACTGCATTCACCTTACAGCTTCCTCGTTGTTTACTCTGAACAAGAACCCGTCACAAGCTAGCTACTTACTATTGACTAAATTTGGCTAAATTTTGCAATACAATCTTAAACAAGAAAGGTTTTAACTTTTTGTTAGATTTATGAATGAGTTTGACAATGGTTTTAACTTCACAGTTTGGAAATACTCGTGAGGCCACCCCCACGAACAAGTCAAGAGGAGGCATTTCAGAGAGCGGGTAAATGATGATGCTGATTACATTATAAGCAAGTCTTTTCTGAGACGTGTCTTATTAGACTCCACTATACAGACAAACCAGGTTTAAGATTGCTAACCTGAAAGAATTTTCAGAATATCTTACCAGCATCATGGTATGGCTTACAGCGGAATCGTGACTTTCTAGAAGGGTTACCTTTCATTGTCTGTCTGAGGGAAAGCTGACGTTTTATTTTCTATTTTAGTACTAAAGGTGGATTTGAAGGAGATGATGACTTAGGGGAAATAACTGATTCGGCAGAAGAGAGTGAAGAAAACGAGGAACAGCCCGTCGTGACTACCGCCCAAGTGACCACACCCACCCCCTCTGTCAGGCACACAGGGAGGCCAGGTATGGAGACTGATTTCCTTGTTTCCTTGTCATGTCTTTTGCAATTAACGCCTTGAACCAGTAGCTTTCAAACAAAACACAGGGGAGCTGGAATGAACAACAGAGAAGAATTGAAAAGCATTGCAATGTGTTCCCCTCACAGAAGAAATAGCTGCAGATTCTCAGACTGTCTTGTTATTCATGTTACAATCATTTGATTGTTGTCTTAGATCATGTGGAGACATCCCGTTGGAGTGAGAAAGAAATAGAGATTGCCTTACAGGGTGAGTTTGCTTTGAGCTTCTGTTGCTGGGGTCACGTGAACAAATTTGACCTATCTCATCGTTGTAAATAGTCTGCAGTGCAGGCGTCACATAAGGTCAAGTTAACGTTAAGAAGTGCGTGATGGTTTATTCAACCGGCCATGTTTGATTTGGAGTTAGAGTTGACGGTGGAGAAGGGGGCGGGGAAAAGCGAAATAAATGATTCCAACTCAAGTCAGTTATGCCCATCAATTTTATACCGTGTAGCATGAGTATAATGTTGTTTCAACTTTTGAATTTTTTCCAGATCTTTAATGCGACGTCGATAAACCAAAACCAGTTCTTGCTAGAAAAAAATCCAACAAAATACAATGCCGCAAAAATTAAATTCCGGTAGTTCATTAAAAAAATAAGCTTCAAGAGATGTAGGGGTGGGTAAGGAGTGGGCTTTTTGTTTAATTTTTTTGGTGTGCCGGTCCTTTTGGGATGGAAGTCTTTCTATGATGTGTAAGAAAATAACCAGTTGTTGATTTTTGCACAGGTCTGAGAGAGTGCGGGCGCGATTGGGAAGCTATTGCTCGACGGGTTGTAACCAAGACTGGTGCTCAGTGTAAGAACTTTTACTTCAACTACAAGAGAAAACTACGCTTGGAAGATCTTGTCGCCGAACATGAGGCTACTAAGGTGATTATCTAAGCATAGTACAGGGCAGAACTTCTCCTCAAACCCACATTAGTACGTCTTGTGTCCATAACTATGAGATAGCGACTTCGATTATAAAGGATACGCTTTATTTTAGTGGTATAAGTCATGAATACAGAAAATGCTTTTTAACACGGGATTAGCATTTGATCGTGTTGTCCGATCGCTCGAGTGAGAGAAGTCATAAGAAGTACTGTTGTCGGTAACAGTGCCTAATGTTTTGATGTAGCCATCGGTATCCGGTCACCTCGCCCCATGGTCATTTCGCCCCAGTCACTTCGCTCCAAATAAAAGTCAGTTCGCTTCATACAAAAGTTTGAAAAAAGAAAAATCTTCAGGGGTGGGCGTGACTACTTAAGGAGGTGCTAATTTTTTTTTATGAAATCGATCATTTGTAATTGAATCTTGTTGCTTATATTACAGATGCAACGTGCCCAAGAAGAACAAAGACAGCAACGTGCCCTAGAAGAACGAAGACAGCAACTACAACAACAACAACAACAAGAAGACCAGAAGCAGCAGCAACAACAGCAGCAACAACATCAGCAGCCGCAACAACAACAGCAGCTGCAGCCCTATCCACATCCACAGGAACATCACAAAGACAGTCCCGGCACTTCACAGAGGCGGGAACCAAACCCTAAGCATACCTTAGCACAACAACCATCAGAGAGTCACAGTTCTCATTCATCAGATCCACATAATAAACCAGGCGGTGCTTCCAACAGCAATGTTTCTTCCACAAGCGGTAAAGAGTCCACCTCGGTGATTGTTAGTGCGGTTCACACCGCGGTGGGATCCCCGAAAGAACCTGCAACTACATCTTCAGTAGCGTCGTCTATCTCCAACCTCCAAAGGATAGTCCCTTCTCATTCTCCTCATCTTTCTTTGACGAGCTCAAGCTCCACTCTATTTATGCCCACTCCAGGTGTGATTGCGTCCATTGGTAGAGCCTCGCCTAATGTGGGAACAGGGCAACCAACTCAAGTATATACTCGACACCCGCTTCCCGAATACACGAAGCCCGAGTCTATTCGTTCCTCAAGATCACCACATCCAGAAACCGTATTTCCCGGAATTGTATATCCAAGACCTGAAGGTCCAAGATCCTTACAGTCAGATTTATCGCATTTAAGAGCCCCATATTTGGTTTCACCACGACCAGGTTACGTTCTTTCCGACTCGCGTCCCATTTATCACGGATCTGCCACACCCAAGTCCCTCGGGTACAGTACAAACCCGCCGCACACTGCCACGTTGCACACAGCATCCTCGCCACCTAGCCTTACTTATTCAAATAAAGGGGTGCTGCTACCTGGTTCGTCTCACCCTATAATGTCACACCCTGGCATCTCTCTCACTAGCAAGTCACATGTTAGCAAAGTGTATGGTCAATCCTCGCACCCATCTGAACCTATCCAAACTCCATCAGGCTCTTCCGTCTTTGCTCCTTCAGGTGTGATTAACACCCTCGGACTCAGTCGACCTGCGAGTCACTCCCCTGTACCTGCGGTCTCACAAAGTTCCTCTGATGAGAGAGAAAAGTCTCCAAGTCAACCGTTACATTTTCCCGAGCGGTTGGTGGCACAGGATTCATCTGTCAAACCATCTTACTTATATCAAGGAAGTGCACGTTATGAGCCATCCAGCGGAAGCATTTTGCAAGGTAAGACATTATTATACTTCTACAAAAAAGAATCAATTGCGGGTCGAAAACAGAAATCTGAGTTCCCACCGGTGATTCTATAGCCAGGTCCTTTGATGTAGTTAGGTAGGGCATATAGAAGAATCATTCATGTGTACCACTATGCAAAGCTTTTTTGTGATTTTAGTAACGGGTTCTTAACCATAAATATATCTTTATGTCTGGGTTAAATGCAGATCGGCATCTTACAACCTTACTTAGGGGGAGGGGGTAAAAAATTTTTGTATGTGTGATTTCTGCCGCTCACCCCCCTCCCCACAATGTTCAATAAACAATTTACTTCAGAATGAAGTTTGCATTCCATTATTCAACTTTGAAAACGGGAATGGAGGTGCCGAGACTTATTCTGTGGGTCTTAGGTTGATAGTAAAGAATGATACATGGGCGCGCGTAGATATGGAATTTCTCTTCGAGTGTTTAACTCGATAGCTCACGAGCGAGCGCAGCGAACGAGTGAGATGTCGAGTTGAACACGAGAAGAGAAATTCCATATCTACAAGCAACCATGTATTATTTTGTTTATCATATAAACACAATAGCCCTTTACTGAGAAGAAAAGCGGACTTCATTAATGAATGAAAACAAATGAGTCGACAATTCCCGAAAAAGCAAACGTAGAGTGCGTTGGCGCTCACTCTTAAGATGGAAAAATGCGTTGAATCATGATTACAAAATCAACAATGATCGTAATTTTCAAGGGGCTATTGTGTTTATATGATAAATAAAATAATACATGGTTACTTGTAGGTATGGAATTTCTCTTCTCGTGTTCAACTCGACATCTCACTCGTGAGCTATCAAGTTAAACACTCGAAGAGAAATTCCATATCTACGGGCACCTATGTATTATTCTCTCTATATTTTTCATATTAGCGTCTGGCGTGAGTCTTCACCCTTTGCACATTCAGATCATGTCTCACCACGAAAAGTTACCGCCATCATTGATCTCCTTTTAGGGAACAATTCCCTCTGTTTTATTTTGTTGTTGTTGTCGTTGAAATTTCTTTTACGAACTTCCATCTAAGTAGTTTGGGGTCTACAAATTAATTGAACTTTTCGTAGTTTGGGATGTGTGATAGCTTTGCATGTCTAGGCTTGCTCTAGACTACTAACCGCTTTGAGATTCCAGAAAGTAAGCTTTCGAAATTCCCGTCAAATGTGCCAAAATCCAGTGCAGCCATATTTTCCTCTTAAGTTTGTAAAGTCTTAAGAAAGCATTCTAGTTGCTAAGCAGTATTCAAAATGGCGGCGTCCAAAGAGGTTGGGTAATTATTTGGAATGTTGAAATGCGTTACGTAGAATTTGTTTAATTTTTTTTTAATTGGCGGTGGTAAAAAAACGTTTAGTATTTTAATTGTGCCTTTCCTTCATTGTTTATTTAAATTTCTTGTAGAGGCTAGCTCGGAAGTGGTAAAGAAGAATTCAAGGATCCCTGAAAGTGCGTCATACGTAAGGGATGTTCCTAAACCTGATGTAATTGTCATAGAAGACGATCAAAAAAAGAGGATGGAAGGCTTTCATCGGCTCGACACAGGAGAAGGAAAGCAAGCTTCAAGCATGTTGAGAATGTTAGCATCTGGAGGAAACGGTAAGCTTCACTCTAACTATTTTGGATGTGTGTTACCACCTCTCTTTACTGTTGATAATTGAACCTACCCTTCTCCTTCTTGTTCGAAGAATGATTATGCCGCCATTTAGGATACCGTAGACCCTCACGGGTGTCCTTCTCGAAAAAATTGTTAACGCGACATTTGAAGCGTAATGGAAATGTTATGAAATGCACTATTCGGAAAAATTGTTTCGTTTAGCTTTATTTTATTGTTAACCGACAAAGGAACGACGATTTGAAATGGGTGATGTTTCTTTGAGCGAATAAATCGCATATCAAATCTAACCGCACAATTAAAATTTCTGCACAATTTCAATCTAGAGAGGTTGTTCTTCAAAACCTTGTGGGGATTTTTCGATATGCTTAGTGGTTGCTTAGCAATTTATCAGTCAAGTGTACTTACTGACGATAAGCATTGCGTCAGAGGCCATTGCAGGATGTCCATTTCGAAAACCAGAAATCCTCCACACGCCAATAAAAACGCAGAAGCGTCCTGCGGAGTCTTAGTAGACTCTCAGCAAAATCATATCATGCGAATAACTATCTTACAGTTGCCCGTGACAGACCTTAATTTATTCCACTGGACGGCAAATTCGATTTCAAGTCTTTTTTCTCAACTTAAAAGCGAAGTGCGAGGATCGAAGATTACTCCAACGGGCTTTTATTCTTTTCGCGGTGAGATTCTTTCGCCATTCCGCGACGAATTTCTTTGAATTCTTGCACTCTTCTCCTTTTTATTTTTTGTCATTCACAATCGGGGTTTAAATGCAGAAAGATACCACGAGCAACTGAAATCAGATGTTTACGCAATTGAAATTTAAGGACCACGACGTTTAGCCGCAGAAAACACTTCGTGAGTCATTTATAGTGACAAAGTATTATTGGCTATTCACACATCGGCGGGCCACAAAGTTCAGTTCTAACGCACGTTTTTCTTATTAATTCGTGTGCGTTTCAATATTTTATAAATTTTTTTCCATTTTAGTTAAAATAGAGATGCATAATTTGGCATGATAAAAAAAATGTCCCAAAAAATTGGCCCTCTAAGGTCTACTTTATCTTTAAGAGAGACGAACGATTTTGCCAGCAGGGACTTCAGTTTGTGCTCCTGAATGGAAGGGTTCCGAAGGTAGAGGTGCCTGGAGAGGAAGGCTTCACTTTAGTGCTGTAACATGTGATTCAATTCCTCAACCTTCTCATCTTTTCTTTAGGGCCAACATCGTCGGGAGATCACGTACCACCAGTGACGGAACCTGTGCGACCACAAAGTCTACCGCTGTCTTCCAGCAACCGCATCATTAGCCACACTGATTTACGATCTCAACAGAGTGCCACTCCACCAAGCAATTTTGCCATGCGCCCTCAAACCCTAAATCCCCCACCGCCTTTGATACAAGTGCCTTCTTCACGAGATAAAAAATATATCACGGCACACGAATTGTCAGCTGAAACGACTCGACCCAGGGAGGGGTTCGCACAAGGCGAAGCCTACCACGATCGTTATGGTAATGTTGGTCAGGAAACCTCTACTCTAAGAGATGTACCAAGACGCGCACACACTCCCGTCGATAATAGAGGCGGTGAAAGGGAGAAACGATCAGTTGTGGTAGAGACCGTTGACTTAACGAGCGAAAGAGAGGTTAGTAGTGCATCACTAGTACGCCCCACAGCGATATCACCCGCAGTTGCTCAAGGTTCATCATCTGCTCGTGCCCATCTGCAAGCCATGGCAAGGTATGCTTTAGCTGAGACAAGTAGTCCAGAAGTGACTGAAAAGATGGGGCATAAGAGAAAAGAAGAAACTTACCTTCCTCCGAGGCATCCTGACGTTAAACTTACCGCTTATGAGAAGAATGAAGCGATACGAAAGTATAAATTGGGTACCGTCTGCTTATCAGCACCACGCGAGGTACCTGTCGGAGGAGAATATTCTAGTCAAGCGTATGGGTTGATGCCAATGCCGGCTCTGCATCAGCCTCTCACCCACACCCACCCGCATCCAGCTGGCACCTCAACACCTCCACCATATGGTTATCCCTTCCACATGGGGCATCCAGTGGGAACTTTGCACCACCACCCAGAACACCGTTTCTTGGTTCCAGTTGGGGTACCTGTGCGTGAATTGCTCCCACATAGTGTGAATGGCGAGGATCTACCCAGTCACGTAAAGCTTAGTGGGGCATTTGCTCATCAATATCCTCAAGGAGCAGCATATTATCCAGCGAGTTTAAGGCCTGTGGTGCCAACATACCAGCCAATGTCTGTTTGTGGTCATCCATATTCTGTACCCTTGGGTGAGGAACGACGCGCTGTTCATCATCCACTTGAATTGTCTGGCAGACGTCAAAATGAAATATCAGAGCAAGAATTGGCAAACCCTTTTGTTGTTAAACAGCAGAGGCATATGCATGCCCCTGGAATGCCGGAAAAAGTCGTGTCATCTGGTGAACTATCAACATTTCCCCTTTCCAGTCGCTCGCCAAAGGAATCTGCTCCACGTTCACATGCCCTTTCTCCTGAGATGAAACCAAAGACATCCGCTCATACTGAAGAAGCAAAAACTGTTTCGCCACCAACAAGTTCCTACCTATCGAGAATACCATCAAGGCCAGCCTCTGTTTCTGAGATGCGCAATCGAGCTGCTGTTATTCCAGAGCTAGGAGATACTGAGGGAAGCGTTAAAAAATTTCCTGATCCACAACCACTTGTGATTATGCCTACCAGTGAAGACTGTCAAAGGGAGAACAGTGCTAGACTTGCACAAGAGGAATTTGTTAAAGAAACGAAGGATCTCTCCAAAGAGGACAAAGAGGGATCTATGGTAGAATCTTCACAAATGGCTGCTTTTGCCACTTTGGTTGATGTTGCTGCGGCAGCTAGGAAAGTTGATGTTCCAGTAGCAGAACACTTGCCACAGAAAGAAGCCAGTGATGTACGAGAGTCGCCCCCTGTAAGGCAAGGTGGGCATACAGCAGCGTCACATACAAGAGTGAAATCACCACCAAGTCCCTCCAGAGCGTCACCTGGAGCTTCTACACCCCGGTATGGAATTACTACTGGGCTTGTTCCAAAACCTCCGCCTCTCATGCCCATCACTGGAATGAGACCTTTGCAAGAGGGAAGTAACTCCAGCACCACTCCAATCAGTGTCTCAATTGCAAGTCATGGAACTGGCATGGCATCGCGTAGTCCAAGCAAGCTTACATCACCTCCTGGAGCACGATCAGCAAGGGCTTCTGTGAGTCCCGATGGCCCTCCACCACTGATATCCCACACAGTTATTAGTCCTACTTCAAGTAGTCCGTCACAAGGAATGAGCTCAAAAGGACCACCTCCCTTGATTAAAGGCATTGTCTCACCCGTTTCCATGGATCTGAGAAGCCCAGAAAATATTGACAATTCAAGGAAGACCACATCCAATCCAGACAGCGTCGTTGCTCTTCAGCGTTCAGATCAGGAGCCCGCTCAGTTAGATAGACCATCTATAAGAAGTGTTCAAAATATGGAACCTGACATTCAACGAAAGGTTGGTCAACATCTTCAGGAATCGCCACAAACCTCGTCACATCAGATTGATGACAAAAGCGCCAAGAGGCCTTCCTCGTTGCCACAGTCAGCTCGGCTGCCCCAAGTAAGAACGATATTTGAAACAATCAATTACGTTGACTCTACTCATGCTGAATTGCGACATCCATCTAGACTTCACATGAATCCATCCCAACCTCCCTTCGTTGGGATGTACAGAGAGGAGGATTTCTCACCAGTAACACGACCATCAAATGAAGTGTTTACAGAGATCACCCAACGAGAAGGCCGTTACGCGGATGAGATGCCAAGATCATGGACAAGGAAGGAAACAGAGAGCGAAGAAAATGTGCAACCACCTCTGCAATCCGATCAGTCATTCTTAAGACAGTACCCAGCAGAAAACGTAGATCAAAGGGGCAAAGAATCCTGGCAAGCAATTTCAAAAAAGTTTCCGTCTCATCAAAAATCACAATCTGTATCGAGCGATGAAGATTCTGCTCCACCACAGCGTGGGCCTTCTACGCACGCACCAATCTCCCATGGGTCTGGTAGCGAGACGGAAGAGGGTGATGAAGGTGACATGGAGACTGAAGATGGGGTGCCTCCAGTACATCCCCGCATATTGGCACTGGCGAGGAGGAGTTCCCAGGGTCATTCCCAGTCCCCGTATTACGAACCGAGTGACAGTGAAACTTTATCTGCTGAGGAGTCAGAGAATCTACCCGAGAGTAGTGATGAGATGCTTTTGAGTTCAACAATGACGCCATGTACTCAATCCTATGGTAGCTCCGAGGTTGACAAACCTGGCAATCACGAAAGCTTCTATGATGACAAAAATAAACCTAATACTAACCACACCTCTACTACTTCATCTGTCTGTAACCCCAGTGCGTCAGGAGTCTCCTCGGTTGATGAAGATGTACAAATCGATGAATCAGTATCAGACTGCGACGAAAGACAGGAAAGTGTTGCTCCTGAGGATGTTGTTACAAGTACAAAATCTCTCAGTGAAGAGTTGCTTGACGTTAAAGGTGAGGATTCATCCTCAGATTCCCCAACTGCTTCGAGCTCAGTTGTAGCGGCTGCAAAACATCTCCCAAGCTCAGATCCTGGTGCAGAGGAAGAAGAAACAAATGTTGGTTCAAGTCAAAAGTTTCATGGAGAATCTGGTGTATATGAACATGAAAATTGTTATCCTTCACAGAGCTCTCCTTCACCCATTGTGGAAGTTAATTCCCTGGTGGGATTGCCTGAACAGGCATCGAGCGGCATAGACAAGTATAACACTGTAACAGTAGAATGCAGTGAAGATGTCCAAGTGGGTAGCAGTGAAACAGATAGAGGTACAGATGTATCGCAGTTCGAATCGTCAGAACCACAAACCTCGCAAGAAATACCAGATAGTTCAGCTAATCTTGAGAATAGACCTGATAGAGGCAAGGTCTCACCTTCGGAAAAGAATGATAATATTGAAGATGATGGTATTACTATAGTGCCGGATGAAAACGCATTGACCACTGTACAGCCTGGGTTAACGCAACCTAGTGAAGTAACTTCCGTGTTGACTGATGAACAATCTGTATCACCGTCGGAAAGAGGTGAAGGTAACTATATATGTCAAAGTGCTCCTGAAACAGAAAATAATAACGTCGCGTCCACTTTATCCGACCAAGAAAACGAAGAATATGAATTGAACGAAGAAACAAGGGAAGCAGACGCATTAGAAAACTCTCCCCAAGCTGAACATGGATTTCTGGTGGACCCTGACACTTACAGCTCCCCTTCAGATACCAACCATCCGGAAATCAGTTCGGCAATAGACTGTGTGTCTGATGATAATGAGCAGGTGTCTTACCCGACTTTTGTTGGGGCGTTTGTTCCACTGCCGGGAGAGGTAGCTTCACCGGATGTCAGATCTGGAGGCTCCACCCAAGTTCCTTCTGATGAGGGCTCAGTCTGTGATGAAGTACCGGCTGACAAAGAAGTGGAGAACACAGAGCAGACATTGTTACCAAAAGTAGAGCCATTAAACGTTTTAAGTCCAAACGAAGAAGCTAATCACACGGACGATACACTCTCAGAAGGAGAGATTCCGCCCTCACAAGAGAGCAGTCAGTCTGAAGACGAACCTTTGCCTTCAGAAGGCAAACCTTTGGGTAGCAAAGCTACTTCCCTCCTCCACGATGATCCCATCACTACACCTCAGTCCACCAAGCATTCGGAGACAACACCTCAAATGTCCGATTGTGTTCAACTTCCCTCTCATAGCAAGGAATCTGAGGACGATGATCAGTTATCCGAAGGGGAGATCCGGGAGTCTGAGGACGAACCAACCACGGAATCTTACGAAGAGTCATCCTCGTCAAATGCAAATCTGGTCTCTAGCTCAATGTTAGGCAGGGATGGTGACACTTGTCCAGTTCCAGATAGGGTGTCGTCGAGTAAAGAAGCTACCACACGAACCGAGTGTTACATCAATATGATCCCCATTTCTCCTGCGCCACCCGAATCACCCAGTCACCCATCAAGAGGAGACCGCGCATCACCACTTCCACCATGGCCATTTACCGAAAGTCACCACCCGTCGGTAGTTCCTTTAGCAGCTCGCATGACTTTCCCTTATTCTTCCTTATCACTCAATGTGGGTTCTGCATCTAGCAGTGCTCGTTCTTCGCCGGTACCCCATTCGTTTGCGGTCAATTTGGCCCCAGGTTCGAGCCCTAGCAGCTCGTCATTGTTGTCAAGGCCACAGGAACCAGCCCCTCTCCTTTCAGATAGTTATGAACCGTTAAGTGATGATGAAGTTGAGGAGATGGCTGATAATTCAACCATGAGGGATGAACAGGATTTATAGATATGTTACGGGGACACTCAACTTTGTGCCACAATGAAGTGGCCCGATTTTGTTATTTAAAAATTAACAAATAATTATATTATCTCTGAAGTGTTGTTCCCGAGCCCTGTTTATCGCTGAACTTTTAAATGTTAAAAATACGGTTTCGTCTCTCTTGTTGATATTTAACTGTATATTTTATCGTAGCTGATAGGTGTAAAATAAAGATTAGTTTAAAAGTATTGATTAAATTACAACAAACTATGCTACTTTCTAAAATAAATACAAGCGTGAAAAGTCACTTGACACTTAATGGTAAACTGCTCCTATACTAAGTGCATTATTTAACCCTTTCAATTTTTTTTTAGTTTTAATCTCACGTACAATAAAAAGTAAAAATGTTAATCCATTTCTAGTTAGAACCTCTGGGTTCCATTTATGTCGGTCGACAACAAAATGGTCCTTTTTTCCTTTTGCAACACCTTTGAACTCTTGCAACAAATCTACATAGTTGGTTTGTGGTATCAGCAGGTAGATGTAAACGAGATTTCTCTAGGCCGTATCGATTCACTTATCATGCCCTTTCATCAATATGTATACTCTCTTTACTGCTCCATATGCATTTCTTATGATTCTTACAAGGAGAATTTGTTTGACAATTACGTGCTTCTTTTGTTGGTGATCATTTCGTTTACTCTCAGGACCTTAACGTCTGATTCACCGCTGGTGGTGTGGGAAGAAATTAGAAGCTAGTCACCCTTAGGGGCCAAAGGGTTAGTTGCTTTGGAAAAGCTCTTGAACAGGAAGAATTAAAATTCGTAAGTCCTTAGATCAAAGCCTTAGCACAAGACGGAAAACCTAAGATAAGAGAGAAGCCAGTAATCTTCCAAAAGCGCCATTTTTAGGGCACAAAGGATACCCCAATGTTTAAGAGCAGAGTGTTTCTGTAAATTTTTACAATATGTTCTTAACGTTATCTTTTCTTCGTCTCTTTGGACGCCACGACGTATCGCTGTGGCACATTTAGTGGAGGAGCGAAGCCATCCGCGTAAGAAGTATCTTCAAACGACACGGAGTAGTCATCTTGAGGCTGCAATGAGAATTACAAAATATAAACGCCTTTCGAAATAATTTGTATATTAGTGGCTCGCGGAGCAAGACACACCCGTAGACATACATCCGTTTTTAGTGCATATTTCGTCTGTAAATCAATTCGAATAATTTTTGTCGGGAATACCAACATTCTTTCTGAAGAGTAATATTCGCGCCTTTTGAGTCGGAAAGGTCAGATATTTATCAAGCCTAGGCCACAGAGGTGCGTATCAACACATGAGTAGGCTTCTCCCGATGGTGCTCGGCAAGTTTTGAGAAACTTTTGGCGTGTGGAGCAACTTTTTGCGGTTCTAGCAACCTCGAACAATTTTTCCCTTCCGAGAAATTTTAGAATTAGAGCATATATCAAGCACGATTAAGTCAACGATTTCATTAAAAAAAAACCTCAATTTATGGAAATTTCTTGGATGTTTAGCAGGTAGTCAGCTAACACGACGTCCAAAATTGGCTGTTTTAGTTAATTTACTTTCCATGAAAGGAAACGGATGGTGAAAAGCCGCCCTTATTTGCGAGCAACTTTTTAAAGGGAAGTTAACTATTGCAAAGAACGAAAACTAAACTTTCAATAACGTTTATATAGAAATATCAGTAACTTTAGGAGGCATCTTTTGAAATTCAGGTAGCAAAAGTTTTGGATTTTTGGCAATTGTTAAGCCCCTTGGGCAACTTTTCAGCATCTTACAAGCACAATCGGGTCAGGCATACACATGATCGTTCAACAAGAGGGATTTTACGACTGAGCTTGTTTCCAAAAGGGCTTATTAGTGACCAAGCTTTCTTCGACCTTTGAACATGTCCTCTATGGTGATCATTCGGTCGATAATCAGTCGGCAGTCGGCAGTCGGTCGGTGTATCGGTCGACTGTCGGTTGATAGTCACTTCGCAGTCGGTCGATATATTTTGGTCAATTTTCGGCCGATCGTCTGTCGACAGTCGGCTGATATACATTGGTCGACTGTTGGCCAATATATATCTGTCAACTGTCAGCCGATGGTCAGTCGAGAGTCGGTAGATATCAAGGTCAACTGTCAATCAATAGTCTGTCAGCAGTTGGTCGATACATCGGTCGACTCTCGGTTGATAGTCGGGTCACAATCGGTCGATATATTTCGGTCAACTGTCGGTGATGGTCGTGCGACATTCGGCCGATACATCGTGCGACATTCGGCCGATACATCGGTCGACTATCTCATCGGATAAGTAACCCTTACTTATTGAACTTCTCTAGTAAGTAACAATTTACCATTTACACATTTAAGACTGAGCCCGGTGGTACCCCACTTACCCTTGAAGGAGGCTCATGAATTACGGCTTTGTAAAAACATGTGGTTTGTGGGTATAGCGCCATCACAATCTAAGGGGATAAAAAAACCAACACGATCAACAAGTTAATATCTTACTCATGTAGTCAATGTAGTGAAGCTTTACTGCGCACAGAGTATTTACTAGGGGTGTTCTGTTTGTTTGTTTGTTTGTTTTTCTTTCTTTTTTCGCCCCCTATCGGCTGTCACGTACGTTTTGAGCTCGTCTGCTCTCGAATAAAAACGAAACAAATTACCCCTATCCCGCAAGCTAGCCTAGAATGAGGAATTTTGAGCATAAGTTCAAAAAAGTTCGGCGAGGTTTTGGCACTCGCACATTACATTCCCTAAAATGCAGATCCAAGGAATATGATTGGTTAATATACCTGATCTGCTTGAAACAGAGCTTGAGGGTGGGTTACTGGGTTTGCCTTCATCTTGGGCAGCGGTATCACACGTCTTCGGCTCAGATGATGACGTCTGCAACGAACAGTACTATTAATGAAATTTTAAAAGCATTTGCTGCGTTAACATAGTGTCAGCTTCTTACTGGGACACGGGTTGTTTTAATCCTTTACACCCTGTCATCAGTATGCAAATTCTCGATACTTTTCTCCATACAATTCCTCAGGTGCAGACAAGGAGAATTTGTTTGACAATCTAGAGCCTCTTTAGTTGGTGATCATTTCCTTTATTCTCGTGAATTTCATGTTTGATTCAGAGGTGATATTGTAAGAAGAATTTAGATGCAAGTCTCTCGTAGGGATAAAAGATTAACAAGGAGAGAGCTATCATGCAGCGTAGAAATTCTGCTGAACTGAACCCTTGAAGACAAATAGAAGTCGCTTTCACTTACTCCTTCCCGCTTCTCCCAGCTTCTTCGTCGATATCGTCAACATCGTATCTTAAAAGCAGAGTCAAGATAAATGCAGAAATACCAAAACGTAAAAAAGAAACCCAAATCCGAGGAATAGTGAAAGCTTTTCCAATCTCAATAGCCAATCACGGTACCGAAAGAATGATGTCATTTTGCCGCGGAGAAAGTGCAGCTTAAGTCAATTCTTTAGGTCAGAAGTAACCTGCAGAAGAGGCAAGCGCGAACGCGGGTTGAACGCGAGGTAAACGCGAAGTGCGAGTCATGTGCGAGGGGAGGAGCCCGAATAAAATTACGTCGCAATTTTTTTCGTGCTCCCCTCTCGAGCGTGACTTGGGCTTGCCTTTGCTTTTCTGAACAACGCAAAAACATGCGCCTATTCTGCAGGCTAAATCAGAATTCTCATTGAAAAATCTCATCTGTTTCAAACACAGATTTTCATCAAGAACCTTTAAATCTCCAGCCTTTTCAGTCTTTTTACTGATCACTCATGAAGACATTGTTTAAGTAAAACTAGAATATCGATCATTAACAACAACTAGGATTTGTCCATACGTTGTTCGCATGTATCTTTTCTTCTGCTCATCACAATTGACAAGCAAATAGTAAGGTACAAGTAAATATACAATGCTGAATGATGCAAAGTACTTCTCCAGCATAATTTTATAGATTGCCAAAGGATACTTGTTTGACGAAGGATTAAATGACACTATTTCCGCCAAGATCAACTGTTCTTCGCCGTCAGGTGTGCGCACACGTGCAGCAACCTAAAACATTAAAAAAAAAAAGTTTGGATTTAGAGAGATGAGTGAGGAATAATTTTAAAATAATGAGACACTCTTTGCCAACTTACATGATCTCCTTGCTGGGCAATATAATTAGGTTCTGCTTGAATGCATCCACAAAGAGGAGGGGGCCTGGAGGAGAATACAAGAGGCATTATATTCAATAATACTTTTAAAAGAGAAAGACGGAGAATTAAACAGTGTTTACAACTGATCCACTCCTAGCATATGAAATATATTTCCCATATTTTAGAAATAGGAGTTAAAGCAGTCCTGACTAGTTTTGCAGTGGTCATTTCCAAGTGCTCCACTGATCCAATCAGCTTTGACAAATGTCTGGAATGAGAGCATATAGCTAGAAGAGGTATTAGTAAGTTTGTCAATAAGCAGCTTTCTGACTGTAAATATATGAAGATCATAATATGAACTGCAGTTTTTTAAGAAATTAATTTGAAAGCAATCTCAGCAGTGATGAACACTACTTAAGCAGCAGTGAAAATAAGGCCTGAAAAAAAAATTCAGGTCTGTACTGGATTTGAACCCATCATCTCTGCGATACTGGTGGAATGCTCAACCAACTGAGCTAACAAGCCAACTGGGAGCTGGTCACTATGTTCCACATAAACCCGTGATGAATAAATAATTGTGAATATATGAAAATCATATATGTGAACTGTGGATAAAGACATCAATATGAAAGCGATCTTCGCAGTAATGAACACCACCTGAGCAGCAGTGAAAATAAGGCAAGAAAAATTCAGGCCTGTACAGAACCCATGACCTCTGCAACACTGGTGGAGTGCTCTACTAATAATTACAGAGGAAGTAAATGGTTTTTAAAGTAATCCCTATCTGGTCGAGGCAATTTGTCATTCATGAGGGTTGTAGCCCTTGGATACTCCAGGCACCTATCTTCAATTACACAAGGTAACAGGTTAACCTACGTTTCAGAGGCTTTCCCCATCCACATTGGTAACTGCAGTGCAGCTTGCTGTAACATTGTCATGAGCACACCTCTTCTCATCACTTTTCTAAAGAAAATAGATGAAACAGAGCCTCAGATGGCAAATTGGTCACAAATCACTTTTTTTTAATATTAATCTTGTACAAATCACATACCATGTTTGGTTGATTAAGGCCATACCTTAGCAATTATCATTTATTAATAATCAATCGACTTAACAGTCTCCATATTTCTACAAAACTATAAAAGGAAATTGTTAACAGAAGAACAGATAGCACAATCTTTCTCTCTTTTTGGCGAGAAAATCAGCTTCCCCCTTCCCTAGCTTGCTCTATGTTTGCAAAAATTTCAATATCACTGCCTATTCATGATCTGAGTACCAGAGCAAATTGGCAGAGATGGAAATACATGTATATAGAATTTGAATTGAAAGGTTATTATTATCATTGTTTAATATTGTTGTTAATTTCATCATCAGTATCCATAGTTTTCTCCATTACCAAGTGTGTTTTAGGACAGGAAAACTCAAAAGAAAGATCACAATAAATTAACTTTGGATAACTAAATTTTAGATCCTACTTAAATAAGCAAATGGATTTGTGAATGGCAATACATGTAATCACCTTGGTTCCCCTGTTTCCTGATTACCAAGTCGACTGCTACCACCACGCACTAAAATAAATTGACAATCATTACAAATCAGTTATTTGGCTGCTTATAGATTTCAGGTGGGTCATATCCTGTGAGAAAAATCACTTTGAAGCAGCACTTCAGTATAAACCCTTAACACCCTATCATCACTATGCATATTCTCAATACTGTTCTTCATACATTTGCTGAGATGTTGATAAGGAGAATTTGCCTAACAATCAAAAACGTCTTCATTCATTATTCGCATGATCTTAATGCATGATTCAGGGGTTAAACTGTAAGGAGAAATTAGATGCTAGTCATTCTTAAGGGTACAGGGTTAGGGATATGGTAGACCTTAGCAGGTGTCCTTTGTGAAAAAAAAATGCTTTATGCACTATTTGATGCACAACCACCAAAAAACATATTAGATGGAAAGGTTATGAAATGCACTAGCCAGCTACATTTGTTTAAATTTGTTTCTGCCTAATCTAACTGTAAATCCACCAAGACACAACAAATCAAAATAGACTACTTCTCTTTAAGCAAATTAATTGGGTTTCAAATCTGACCACACTCATAAAACTTCCGCACAGTTTCAATCATACGCATTAATTTTCCAGATAGCAGATGCCCACACTGGGTTTTCTTGGTTTTAAAAAATGCCTTGGGGATAGAAGTAAATAATGAAAAGATATTTATCTCACCAATCCTTCTATCATTTCTCAGTGCCTTAATGCTTGCTATTTTGTCCAAAGCCTTTTTGATTATCCTGAAAGTAAAAAAAAAGGTTCAAAGTCTCAGAGAGAAGTAAGTTTATGTAAGGAAATTGTACCCCTAAAATTCTTTATGACACATGATATTAGAAAACACTCACTCCACTTCTGTCTCTGCATCTGTTCCTGCTGTTTTGTACAAGCCTCGTAGCTTAGATTTAAAGTAAGATGATACTACAGAAAAGAGACAATCACCATTAAGAAATATTTGCAGTTTCAAAGATACAATGATTTCAAACAGGAGGATAGGACTGTACATGTGAAACAAATCATAACCAGTTTGTCTTATGACCCTTTCACATTAATTTATAACATAGCTGGTAAATTTGTCTACTCAAATTCTATTGCACGAGTGTGCTTCATATTCCTATTGTGCACACTCATGATGTCAGCAAACAAATCCCTTGAGGAAAAAAATTTTCTATCGGGTTGAAAATGTTATAAAACAATTGGTTCATACGTCAGCTGTGCGTTCATCAATATATGAAGCACTTGGGAAGTTTGGAGAGCACTCAAGAAGCTAGAGTTGCTTGAGGCTACGCCTCATATTTCATGCTCTCCAAACTTCCCGTGTGCTTCATATCTCGATGAACACACACTGACGTATGAACCAATTGTTAATTAAAAGCACTCCCTACAGATACTAAATGCTTGATTAGGGGGTGTAAGGAGGACTCCTATGGAATGCTGAACTCCTATTGAAAGGTTCCTGAAGAGGGTAGTTTCAAGGGCATAAGCTATCTCATCACTTAAATACTGGACTACAAGCCACCCATCATTCCCAGTTTGTTGTACTCCACAAACCAACAGAAATCAACAAAAAAAATTAAGTTGGTGTCAAACCAACTCTGAAAGTACAGCAAAGAAGAAATGTTGTTAAGATCAGCATCAGCAGAATATCCTATTCCAGCCATCAAAAGTATTTTACCAGCACTGTTGTGATTCTATTATTCTCTGACTTTTCATAAGCTTTATGGTGGGGTCTCTCCACCAGGGAAGTTTTCCCGATGAGTTCAATTTTTCTTGGTTCAGTATAAATTCTCATGACTTTTCTTGACCTTGAGGAACCTTCTCTATCCAAAAATACTTCTTTACAACCTCAGTTGATAAAACTATCTAACCCCTCACAATGTACATCAAGCTTAGAGCCTTGCACTTATTAAGGTTCTCACTAGATTTTCAGGAGGTAGGGCTTTTTCATTATACTTCGACAAACCTTTAACTTCTGTCTTCATCTTCTCATGAGTTTTTGCAATGGTCGATAGGTTTTGCTCACTTTGTGTTCGTTGCTCCTAAGAGAGGACAGAACATGCATTGATTGAAATAATCAATAAGTTGAGGAGAGAATCAGTACGTTTACATCAACCTTCACACCCCGAACATTAACATTATCCTTCACACGGTTCTCTTTATATTTACTATGGTGCAGACAAAGTATAAGGCAAGGAAAATTTAATTGACAATCAGGAGCTTCTAAAGAAGGTTATAATTCAAAGGTGATACCATAGGAAAAATATTGAAGGAAGTCACTTTAAGGGGTTAAAAGGTTGAGTAACAGCGTAATTTAACCCTTGACAAAGACAATTTAAGGTGGCTCTGAGACTAAATTGTAGTTTTTAAAACCTTGCCAGGGAGTGTGATCAGCTAGGTAACCATAATGTGATAAAAAACAAACAACAACAATAACAACGATGAGGGGTTACCTAAGTTGTTTTTGATTCACCCACAAGCATAAAAAGCTTACATTGATCCTTATTGCCTAGTGATTAACAATAACCTTCTCCCTAAAATATCCATACATTCTCCAGCAAACAGGTAACAAGAACACCCAAACTTATCAAGGAGTTGTTGTTATCTTTATCACATGCCAGATTCTCATAACCAATCTGGAGGGAAATGTGTAGAAGGCAGAGGGGAGAATTAACAATCAGATCTTGGAAGTTAGAGGGTTAGGGATAATATGTAGCAATAACTGTGCTACTGTTCAATACCCTTTAGAGGAAACGAAGGAAAAGTGCGGTACTGTTGATCCAACAAAACTATTTTCTCACTCTCCCCAGGCCTTCTCAATAAACTTAACATGGACGCCTGTGTAAATATATCGATCAAAACGTAACAGTACTCTTGAAGATTTAATTTAAAACTAGCCAATATTTTAAGGAATTAAATGCATCTTAAGATCCTCTAGCGACATCTAGAATAAAAATGTCATAATTTTTGTCGTAAATTATTCGCTGAATCGTAATCAGAAGTGTTTTAAGAAGACAGATTTATACCTGGATTTGTAGCACAAGAGCGTGAAGTTCCTTGAGTAGAGAAGGAACTGTGTTACCATTATTGCTGGTGTTTGAAGAACCAGTTGCTAAGCTGCTGGTCTGACCCGCTGATGATGAGGTTGGATTTCTCGACCTTCTCATACTGCTTATCAAACAACACACACAAACTCAACTTTGGACTCGTGACATCGGCAGAAGTCGGACAGTATTCGTTGATCTACGAAGTATCTTCGGAAAAGATGGCGTGATTTGACAGGAGACAACCGCACTGACGGCCGGTCCGAAATTAGCATTTCTTGGCATGCATGTAAAATCACGTCTGCCGCGATAATGGTGGGTATCACCTTGTTTATAGCCGGCTTCTTCGCCTTTCCGTCGTCCCACGTTTTTTTCACCTTCCTGCAGCGGTACATTTTTCCAGGACTGAACTATGTCGACAGATTTGCCATAAGTACACGGTAAGTTAAATGGGGAGATGTGATTCAAAAGAAGCCAGACTGAGTGTGCGTGTATACACAGAACTAAACTTATACTAAAAAGCTTTTTCGCCATTGTAAATGTAAAATCCATTATGAAGCGATTTTTAGAATTTAGAAAAAAATTGATTCCTTCTTTAGATGAAACAATTTTACTATTTTCTTTTTGACAGGTTTGTGTCGGCGCTTCAAGCGCTTGGCGCCTCTCTCGTTGGTTTAAAAGTTGTTTTCACCTCCACTGACATCATGTTACACAGGTAAAGAAAAAAAAAATCGACTTCCGTAAACACTTAATAACTTCAATTTCATGCGATAAGGTGTCATTGTCGACATTTTCTGCCTTTTGTGTTCCGGTATGTCGAAAACTCGCCAGCTTTGATGTTATTGCGCAAGTTTTTTCATATCAATATTTTCTACTTTATTCTAAGTGATTTTAAATTTTTTTCTTTGCTTCTTTCAACAATCCGCGAACATCTGTTGACATTCAGCGCAAATTTAGGCAAATTGTTTGTTTTGATGTCCGGGGCTGAGAAACAGGTGAATTTTGGAGACCAAAACCTGCCTATTAAAAAGTATCGTACCTTAATTTTTATTATTTTGTATTGGCGGTTACTTCCCGCGTGAAGGAAGGATGACATTAATCCTAGTCTAATGTTTGCTGTTTTTAAAAAAACTCTAAGTGGGAAATCCACACTAAAAACTTCTCGAAACACCTATTTTTTTTCTGCTTGCTTAATTTCATGTATAATAAATTGCTTTAATAGCAACAATCTATTCTCAGATAGACACCATATTGATAAGTACCTTAATAAATAAATTACCGTAGAGATTTAACTGCGGAGTGGAAGTTTATCCAATCAATAGCCAGCGGGAAGTGGAGGTTACCACCCATTCTTGATTGCTCTATCCAAGATAATTGTCAGATTATAGCGTGTCTCAGGCGTAGTCAGATATGAACCAGTAATTCCTCTATTTTTTTTCCTTTCTCTCTCTTTCTCCCTTTCCTTTTGTCATGAAATAAGCTCAGAAATTTATTTTGTTTGTGTCATTGTACTCTGGATAGAAACTGACCACCATATTGTTTCCATCATGTTTTCTAATTCTTCCTAAGAAAGACTATTTGTTCTTTTTGCCGACCACAAATGTAAACAAGTGTTGATTTTGAGAAAGGCATTTTAAAATAATAGTCTACATATCCTTTTTCAAACTTGCAAATAAATTAAAACTAAACTCAAGACAAAAGAGGTTTATATGGTAAATATTTGTACCAAATGAGGATACAAGCTCGAGGCATTTTAATTATTGATGTGGTTACATATAACAACTTATTCCAAACCTGTGCTCTCAAAATAATCTCAGGTTACCTCAAGGTTCTTTTCTCAGAGAGCATGGTTGCTTATCTCTTAAAAGCTTTTGTAAAAGCAGGCATACAATCCCTAAGACAATAGAGTGTTGCCTGAGGCACCTGGGTTCTTTGTTTCTGGGCAGTGCCCTGAATCCTCCTGTTTCTGAGCTCTGATTATTACATGCAACAAGAAATACACCTAATTAGAGGTTGGCAAAGGGTTTGTGTATGTGATGGGTGATTAAGGCCATAAGGCCAAACTTAATATGTGGCATGTGAGTTTTATAGAAAGATGAGGGCAATTTGTGAATTTATAAACCAGCATGAATCTTGATTTGCCTCATGAAACATATGAGACCATGAATTTTTTTTTTCATTTCGTGAAAACCTCAGGATCAACCTGAAACCATGTACCCAAGAAGAGGGATCAGAAGTTATTTTTTATGTGTATTCGTGAAGTGTGAATTTTTTCTTAAATTTCATGCATGAAGCAGGACCAGGACCTTCCTCCCCCCCTCCAATTATAGATTCTCTGCTGGGATATATGTAGTTTAGGTTTGGGTTAATAATAGATATACATGTATTGACTGATGGGTTTTTGTCATATAAAGATCAAGCAGTAGAAAATGGAAATTATCTTACCATTTGTGCTTTTGTAAACAAACATTTCCAAATTCCTTCCACATGAGAAAAATAAAGACTTAATCAGGGGTAACCTTACCTACATGTATATTTATAGCTAGAAGAAACTGGTATGGTGGGCCTTTTACCTGAACTACTTAACAATTATTCATCAAAGTGGTCATGAATAGTGGTGGATATTTGCTACCACTTTCACTTACCCTTAGTTAATTTATTTTTAATCAGTAAATACTACACAGAAACCAAAAACATTGGTTTATTTCAAGCAATGCACTGAATACTTGATCAGAAATTGAGCTCTTGATGCTGGATTTTGTTTCTTTGGCTGTATGGAGGTGAATAGTACTTGCTGATCACTTCCAAATTCACAATCAATGTTCGGGGTTATTGCTTAGTGCCAACTCGGGGGGAAATTCGCTGGATGAAAAAGCGGCAATTGCTTGGTAAAGCACAATGGGTTCTTCTGACGTTGTGCACTTAAAATTGTCTGATATCCAACACTGTCTGGCTTTCAGCTGCCTCACTTGAAATTCCTGCCAGTAGCATCATTTCATAGCAATAACCCTGTAAGTAACAAGTCGCTTAAGAAAATACTGAATGGGCCAGTGACAGCCTGGTATAGATCATGAAATTCATAACTTTTGTTTTGCAGGCAACCAATTTTAACCCTGTATGCCTACTTTGGATTGAGTTATTTTTATTATGATGTGGTGGTGATGTTTATTGGAACTTATCTTGAAGAAAAGCAGGAAGACCCACAGAGAGACTTGTACTATATATGGACAAAATTTTTTAAAAAGAAGAAACTGATTGTCTTCCACCACCTTCTTCTCCCTCTTGTTGGGTTTCCTGCTATTACTGTAAGCAATGATACTTATTATTATGTATTTATTGACTGAGTGGAAGGGCCTCATGGGAAAAATATTTGGCTAGACATCACGATGTATGGACCTCACCACACCCTGTCCATGCATCATGACCTCCAGCCAAATATTTTCCCATGTACCTTCTCTGAGTATTTTTACAGGTTTTGCTGTATTTTGATGAGCATGTAGGTTGAGTTAAAATACAAACAATGAGTATAAATACCCATTGATACTACACACCAAAACATCTAATAAGTTATTTATTATCCAACTGCTTGTTTTTCTCCTAAGTCTTTCTGTTTAAATCTCATAAGGCGGGTAGAGCAAAGTGGATAGAAAAGTATAGCATGCACAGCCCACTGGTTAAACAGGTTTTTTTTACAGTACAAAATCATCAACTGTTCAAATAACTGTACAATATCACAGTATATTTACACTCTATTCATACATTATTTGTACTCTACTTTGTGCAGTTGGATAATAAACACCAGTACTGTGCACTTGGTAAAGAAACCCAGGATCCCTGTTTGAGAAAATAGATATTTTCTTCTAAAACTCATTAACTATTCAGAAGGTGATCATCCAACCAAGACACACCAATTTCATCTCATGCATGTGGTTTGAAACCCTGGTGAAACACTAGAATGATGTGCTATTCATGAGTTTCATTTAATATCAAACCCTTGAGTTTGATAAAGCATCAAACTATAGCGAACTCATTTCGTAATTTAAATATCAATACAACAAACTTGCAACCACATGTGAAAAATTTGTGAATAATTCCATTTTCTTTTACTCCTGAGGCGTGATTGAAAAGCTATTTCAAAAACAAGTGCGAGGGTTTCAGCAGGGTTTCCAAACACTTAAAAACAATAAAAGTACTAGTCTGCAACCTAGTGCTTTCATCAGTTTTCTTGTATTTGCCATGGAAACCCCAATGAAACTCTTGCACTCATTTTTGAAATAGTACATCAAAACTACAATTCTCACTTCTTTTTTCTAATAGTCTTACATACTTTTTAATCAAATATGGTTTCTAAGAATTGTTTTCTTTCTATTTTAGATATGGAGGAAGCAAAAAGGAGACTTCTTCTTAGCATGTGTATATCTTAATGAGATGAGCACTCCATTCTTGTCCTTCAAGGCAGTCTTAGAAACGGTATTAGTCCCATTCTTGGGAAAATCATGATTTTTATCATATTACTGATTTTTATTGGTACATGCAACTGGGTTTCAACAACTACCTATACAAGACTTGCCAGTTACCTACCATCAGGTTCTATCCTATACCAGTTTGATATGGTTTACATTACTGCAGAAAGTAGGAGAGGCAATGGGCTAATGTCTAGTGCACTGGATTTTATATTCCAGGTAGAAAGGTCTGGGTTCCAGA